CTGTTTCGCTTCGGGGAATACATAGCTGGTACTGGTGACTTGCCGATAGTGACGGATCGGTGCGTGTCACTATAACTACGGCTCCATGTATCTAAAGCTGTTCAGTGTTCCAGATAAATCAATTCTCTAGTCGAAATTCTAACCACGATTTTTTGTGTCCTCGATCCCCTAATACTTTTGCATGTCAGCTACACACCTAACTTTGCGTTAGCAATCTGGTTTCCAACAACCATCTTAATGACTGATTTATCGCCTCCAGCTTATTTGACATATTGCGTTTACTACCAAAGGATCGCTGTGTTCATCTCAGTCAGCATTTTGGGAGACAAATCTACATGTTATCTAGTTTTCTTTGGGTTTTCACCTCTTCCTCTGCTAACCCCTGATCTCCCACAACTTGCAACTTGCGTCACAGGAATGACACCGCATCTACTGTTTGGGTCTTAATATTTTTACTACCGTTGCTGCGTAGACTTTCCATGTGCGCCGTATCTGTGTGACTGGGTTTCTGAAGTAACCGTTTTATTTGTACAGCATCCGACTTGCTAACTACTATGTTTATGCCATGTTTGCTCCCGAATCGATTCACAAGTGATTTTACCCCATCCTCCAGGTTGGTAAAATAATCACACGTCAAGGAACCAGTCCGTTGTATCATCGACCTCGTGTTATTCCTATACTCTGTACTTTCCTCTGTACTTTTTCATGACCCTGACATCTCATCGGGCTGCTTGTTCTTGTCTGTCCTACGATCATCTGGATTCACTAGACAGCACCTTGATTGGGCATCGACATGCCCCTGATGTTACAGTGTTTTCCAGCGAATAGTGAATGTCTCTTTGCTTTGACTCTCACGGGCCTTCTACTATACTCAGACGTCTTTCATTTCATCACCCACACTCACGTTGTTCAACAGGATTGTCCAGGTTACACCTGTTGTCTAGGTTGCGAGAGCGTCGTTCTTTTATCTCGTATTTCGTTGGCCGCTTCAGTTCCGGTCATTCCACGAAACAGACCTTTCACATCATTAACCGTGCTCACATCTGCATCATGTGGGTATGGCTCAGACGTGGCTTTATGCGTTTGTATCTCTGCTTCAGGTGAACTATGCTCCCGACTAACACAAGAACGTAACTTTTGTGCTAACAGCCTGTGTTTGGGCGCATGAAACTTCTTTAAAAATTTTCGAGATTGCGTTCAAACGTTGTTCATGCACTCCGTTGAAACGCATCCGTTTAACACAGTTGCATCTATTGTTCACCGCCATGCTGATGATGATTGCTTTGACAATGGACGATGGTCTGCCATATCGCAGCTGGTAGCCCTATTGCTGTCGACAGTGTACTTGACCTGTGGCCAGCTGACCGAAGTGGCTGCTTTGCGACAGGAAATCTTCGTATTGAACTTCCACTGGTTTATAGACGAATGGCCACCTTTATCACGTGCTTTTGATGCTCGCCGTGTTGTGCGCTTTCTGGCTAACTGCGTTTGGCAGCATCTAGTCTCCAGACTCGCCCACGCTGTCCATAATCCATTTACGGGATTCACTCCGCGGTCATCACCCGCATCCGATCGAACTGAGGAAGCTCGTCTGCATGGTATTCATAGGAGAGAACTCACTTTTGGGACTGAGTGCAAACCACTCCAAAAAGGACAGCGTAGCCCCTGGCGCATTATGAGCTACCTCAATAAGCATTGAAATTTACGCCTTTGTCATCTGCTTCTCCTTACACTACCACTTGGCTTGCTGGCATCACGATTTCGCATCAATCTAAGATCTGTTGCTTGGTTCGGGTTTCGACACTCATTTTTTCGTTTTCCTACTATTTCAGAGGCAGAAATCTCTTTGCATTGACTTGTCCTGCACACTCCGGATCTTAACAGTCATCGTCTCACTTCTTCAGAGGCCTACTCGACATGAATTCATGTCTAACCCGAACATTGTTTTGTGTTCAACTTCATCACAACTTCGCTCATTTTTCGATTCAGTGGATTTCAAGAAATTCGGTAGCCGAAGAACTGGCGAAATTTCACCCTTGTGAAAACTTTGTGTTTCACATTTTCATCCATCACTAAACACCAGATCACTGATAAGAGCTTAGGTGCTAACCACTATCGCCCTGCTGGCTGTTAGAAGCATCTTCCACTCAACCTAGGGGGAATTTTTGGATTGCTGGGCACAAATTACTATGCTCAACAGCGCACGTTCGTATTTGCGCAGCGCTGTTTCCTGCTTCTGTTTGCTTAGTCACTGTGTGTCATAATTTCCCACCCTCACAATCATTGGTGATATGCGGCTTGATTACCCGGGCTTCTGTTACTTATCGAAGAATCCACAGCACTTTATTTTGATGCTTTATCACCACCATGCACTCGCAGGCGGTTTGACGCTGGTTCTGGGCTACTACGAATGCGCTCAGGTCTATGTAGTGGAGGCGATTCGAACCACAGCATCGCGAGTACAAGCCAGTCGCCTGAACAACTGCAACACCTGTAGCAGCTACGAAGCGGCTACAAATAGAGACACGAACCTGAGACGTAGAGGTTGTATACTAAACGAATGAGCCGTTACACTGCTTATTCCGGAAAAAAATACTATTACTATTTTGGTCCTATTTGTGAAATTGCGTTCCTTTGCTACCGCGAAACCATTCCCTAGTAATGTTCTTTCAGATCATAGGCGTAATTACGGTATCGCTGTAATTTGCAGCTTTACACTTGATGTTCAACATCTACATTGCTTAGAGTTCTCTGTTCCTCTTTTACCAAAGTGAGCAATTGATGCTCTACCGTGCAGTTCATTGGAAATGGTCAACTTGCTTCCTGCCAGTGTTATTTCCTGATTACTGGCTGCTTGTCGAATGAAGTAGCATCGCGCAATCCCATGGTTGGCATTTTTACACTTTTACCGGGTCCTTTATTTCGGGACGTTGACTAGAGTTCTACCACTTCTCTGTCGTCTCTGTGGGACCCGATCTGCTTGCGCATATTACTCATTAACTTGCTGTACTCAAACTTCGCCATTTCATGGGCACTGCTAAATAGATCAAAAACACTCGTGTATGGCGTACTTCGGCGCCTCATTTATCCTCATGAGAGACAAATCGTCGATAGCCAGCTTGATTTCCGTCATTGTAGACTGCCTTTTGATCACATCTTTACTCTCTATCAAATGCTTTAACATACCTACTATGGTATTCTACCTTGAGTTGAAGACGCCCTTTGATTATGTTTTTCTCGCCTGTTTGTGGCCACATGTAATTTCGAAGTACGAATGGGAGAAGTAGAGAGTTTCAGTGCTGCTCTCACCCGTACCTGCACTCCAAGACTGACGGTTTTGTCTTGCTTTTGAACTCATCTGGTAGAGAGCCTGAATTAGGAGTGGAACTCGCTACATAGTGGTTGGCCGCTAACACCATGATCGCTACACCATTGAGCTTCGCGAGCAGTGCTTGTCAGAGCGGTTCGAAGTTGCTTTTCGGGTTCTTGAGTACCCGCCGTGTGTCTTGGATTGCGACAGGCAGTCTCAAACCAGGACGATACCGTTGGTCTTGGAGTGCAGCGATGGGAGAGAGCAACACCGAAACCCTCCACCCTTCGGTGGCGGTCCCAGTGACCGTATTGGCAGAAGCTGACTTCGAAGTCAACCGAGGCCACAATTGAGATTGCGTGTCACAATCCAAGCTACACGGCGGGTACTCCATAACCCGAATATCAACATTGGGGAGAAATTTCATCTTTTTATAAAATTTGTGTGCCAAATCTACAGAGGCCACATAAGTGCCTACCGGATATTCTTCCTTCTGTTCGCCACGGCTGGCGGAGGGCGTCACAACTGCTGCGTTACTCCATTCCTCTTCAGTTTTGTGATCGAAGCGACCATGGACTGCTTTCTCCTGCCTTCTTGAACTTCTGAAACGACTGGTTATTGTACCGACAGTACGCCGATAACATGGTTCTCTGTGTATTAGACGCAGTTGGCATGCATTTTTTGCCCAGTGCCTAGACACGTAGGAATGCGTATTTCGACGTCAGCTTTGTGGGTGCAAAGCACGATTTTCTCGAACCTTTGTACCTTCCAACGATGTTACTACACATACACACCGGAAATGTCATCTCGATCGGCAACAGAACGTCTGCAAATAGCTTGTTCATCACGACAAACAGATTAACATGTCGAATCATAAATTATTCTAACCCTAACATATACGCCTCGGTCAGGAAATCATCGTTGCTTATATACTCGTTCCCTGACTCCTGAATTGTAACTGATTCCTGTGACGATTTTAATGCCTACCATTTTCTCTTGCGTCAAAGTACTTGGGTGCATCACACTTCGTTGCGCGTATCATGGCTAACGAACTGCATTAGGTTAGCACACGATAGCAACGTTATTGATTACTCCTTAGACTCTTGCTCTCTTTCATCTACTGATCTCACTGGTGCGGGCTCACGTAGTCCGATTACACTTGGGCGTGCGGCTCATACGCTGACTCGGCAGCCACCCCCATGTGCACTGAAATTACATGGGGTTGCTTCGTGGTTCATTCCGGCGTTTTGGACCTATGATCTTCAAATCGAGTCATGGTTACACCTTCACGACTCCTGCGTTGGAGTCTGAGGATCAGCGTATACGTGCTGCTGCTGGATACAGTGTCCAACCTGGGCAGAAACCGTATTCTCTAATGAGTTTACTCTAAGCTATTCGCTTGCTAATCGCTGTTTTGGTTTTCACTTAACAGTCGGCTGTCCTGCAAATGGTTTTGCGTCCCTTTTCTGCTTTTGTAGGAATCCTCAGACTAATATTCATCTGCTCTGTCCACTTCCCTTCAACTGGTGCCATCATGTTGCTGTTGCTTACTATAATGGCGGAATGAACAACGCTATTTTTCATTGAATCGATTCGTTCCTTTTTGTTTGCTCCACCACACTCACCCTCGAGCTCCTACTAAACCGCTGCGATTGCTCATGCACCTGTGTCTTTCGTTCCTCCTTTAAAGTCCTCACTTACGACGAAACAAACAGGGAAGATGTGGACGCAACCGCTGCGCTGGCGGAGCTGCAAAAGATGCCTCATGTGGGCCTTGCTCCTGCCCCACAAAAGAATCGCCACCGGTCAGATGGGATGGATGCGAGTACTGGGGAGGAATCTCAAAAGCGTGAGTTCCTTCTCTGATTCCGATTGCCTGGCTCTTTCGTCCTGTTTCTTTATCCACGTTGGATGTTTGTTTGGGCCTGTCTGACACTGTCTGTGTTCGAAGGTGGTCGCAATAGCAAACTTTTCCTTACCTCATCCATGCAGTGTACTCGCTTCCGTTTCCCTCTGTTCGCATCTTGACCAAATGCAGTTCATGAGGACCCCACCAAATACGCCTTTGTGTGATAAAATACCATTGGACTTTTGAACATTTTGTGCTGCTTCCTCTCACAGTTACTTTGGTTTTGTCTGTACTCTCGAGGTAGGGATTTCTGACACTGATCAAAGCTATTTGATCTCATGGGGAACACCTGTGGGTCACCGGCGTTTCCGCCGTGCGTTTGAATTGTGACAGTTACTCGTAGTTTGAACCACAATCTACTCTGGAGTAACTCCCGTTCGTAATGGGACTGTCTACGCGATGGAGTCCTTTCACAATGAAGGCAGGGAGGCTTGGCTCGAAAAATTTGAAGTATGCATCTCTTTATGATTCCAAATAAGGATATCAGAAGACGAACGTTGTCGGATGACACTGTCATTTCGCGCATACTCGTCAGTCACGTACATGCAACTAATAAAGGATTCAACACGAGGTCACATAAAATCGATTGGTGGCTAACTATTTTCCGATTGGTGCATAAAACCCAACTACGGTAGGCTTAGTATCACTGTCAACTATTTTTGAACCCACGGTGGTGGGCGCTGTCGGTCGATAACAGTGGTCTGAAGGAGCTTGAGTATGTGAGGTCTTCGACTGCGCATGAGGATTGTGAATGACTCATCCCAGTTTACCTAATGACAGGTGCTCATCAAATGCCTCGTAATTGCTGAGACAACTTTGCTTCTCGATTCGCCGGGTGCAACTGTCGCATGTTCCATCGGTTTGCGGAGTCACTTTGAAATGTGTTCATTGATTCTGACGCCTAGAGTTCGATCAGTGCGCTCCACAGCCACATATTAATTTGTATAGACATTGGCCTTGCACTACTTCGACGCCGGTGTCTTCACTGAGCACTAAAACTGTGGTCCTGTGGACATGAGCAAGAGTAACTCTACCGCATTGAGGCGCTTATTCGTTTAACGGTGACTTTCATGTGAGGTAATTCAATGCAAACTGGTTTCTTTTGAACTGTTATATCTCGATCTCATCTCATCTTGCCACCGAAACGCTTTGTGAACTGCAGTGGTTAACCATTAGATTGAAGCACGTCAAACGGCAGTTCTTTCTCTGCTTGCAGTATGTCTATGGTGCAAATCATATGAGCTCGTTGGAACAGTGTTCAAACTAAAGATTGCCTGTGATGGATCGGCGAGAAACTCAAACTGTAAGTATTGACTCGCCACCATGTAAACTCGGGTGCATCATTCGCCTTCCTCCTGCTCAGTCAGAATCCTCACATTCTTCCTCACATTCCTCGAGGCCATCACAGTTGCGATCCAAGAGCGAAATGATTTCCTCGCTATCGGACACCGATAGACTATCGGTCTGTGCGAGAAACGCTTTTGACAGCATTTGGGAATTCAGTTATTCGGAACGGATCACTGTCGCTATCAGCCAATAATAACACACCATCACAGTCAGAACCGTTGCCTGTTTTAAATCTTATTTTAGTCGTATCGTTCTCGGTGGTCGTGTTCGCCTCAACTGAGAGGAACACTGGTACTCGCTGCATCAAGCTCGTTCTCAGCTGTAAACTATTTGGACAAATGGGCTAACCATACTTCCGTGAAAATGGCGTGGTGCACTCCATTCACACAGTGCCACCCAAACTCACCATACACGCGGATGGAACTGCTATCCATAATACTGTGAACTGTTTTCCAGGACTTGTCAGCCGATGACAAACTTCCGCCAACAAGCGGCGTACACCTTCAGAGCTGCACGTAGAGTTGCTCAATGGCTTGTTCATCTCTCAAAAATCACACAATCAAGTCCAGAATCATGGCACTGCAACCTTCCACCGTGTGTGTAGACCAAATGATTGTGGAGTCAAGAACTACTTGTGAACCTGTTTGTCTTCCCTCCTTTTAGGATATACCGCATTGATCTTACCATGCATCGATCTGCAGCAAAATTTACGCGCCGAGATTTCTGCCAACTCAGGTCACTATAGCCGTTTATCGACCACTCGTTATGTGACGAGCACACGAGCGCTACTTCGCCCCATACTTGACTGACAGATGGATGTGTAACTTTTGGACACCCACGGGCAGATTACCTCTCCCACTGTGGCTTGCACGGAGGCGCGATCATGCGTGCTGCAAGGGAGAAGTGTCGGTCACTTGATTGCGCAGTGGCTCGTGTTTCGCTGCCTGTTCATTTTTCGCCTTCTCCGTTTACCTGAGATGCTGTTGAGGTCCGTTCGATGCATTTAACTTTATGTGAATCCTCTAGATCTGTTGTCTGCATGCGATTATCCAATCTGACACCTTCCATTCGTTTAGTCTCATCTTAGTATGCAGTAGTTCGCTTCCTACACAGCGCTTCGAGCACCCAGTGGCGCGTCTGCTACCGTCTCACAGTTGAACTACCTTTAAACTATGTTTGATGCTGAGTTATCTGCCCGGTAATGCCTGTTTATGGCGCGGGGCAGTGAAAGCCACAAGATAGCTGTCTCGCCGATGTCGCCTTATCTTGGCACACTGGCTAGCTGTTTGTGATGGTATGTTGTTGACATGGTGTAGGCACCTTGACCCTGAACGTTCTCTTAGGGCATGGAAGTTTTACCCTAGGTCCTCTTTCTATCCCTCATTGTTCTTAGCTACGTAGCTAGTTATGGTTGTACGGCAGCGAAGCATCGCTTCAAACGGCTGTTGTACTGCTGTTGATGATGTTAATTGAACACTCAAGCGCAGTGAACGCAGTCGCCATGGCCTACATCACTACGGTGACGTTGAACCAAAATATCAGAAAAGAACATGAAAGTGCGCCATTGCCCTCAACACAGCATTGGATAAAGAACACGGCTGAACGGTCGTCGGTGAATTGATGAGTTACCAGACCTGTCTACTACAGAGGTGCCATTGACTTCGTTCCTGCAGTGCACCAGGTGTGGTCTCTGATCATCTTTGTGACTGGACTTGTCTTTGTAATCCGAGGATCGCGGTGGCTTCCACAACCCCAAAGAAGCCATTCGCATTTGTTATAATTTGAGGGAACGCCTCTATTGTGATTACGTAACGCCTGATAAGGTTGTCACTGGCACGATTGAAGTACGCCTACGGTAACCGACTGGAACGTTGGCCATTGGAACGGGTTTGCGTTGACCTGATGGCGTTAGCTTAGCCCGGGATACGCACTGGTAAGACGGAAATTGAGCGAGCGTGAGAACCATCCTAGCGTCACGTATTCGGGTAGACGCTGAGCCTCGGGGCGGACGCACACGAGAGAGGGTTACGGTGGACGCGCGCTAGTGACTTAGACGCGAACGCTGGCCGGCTAACGACGCACACAAAATCACGTGACCGACCGACTCCCGACTAAGGCGAAGAGAAATAAAGGCAAGTGGTCCTCTGAAGGCTCTTTTACGACCAACAAAGGGCGAATCACAACCAGTGCTATGGGTCATTAAGTTAGGGAAAATTGCTACCACGACGCGGTGGTAGTTTGTAAAAGACCATTGTCAACAGGTGCGCAGTTGGGCCGCGTCTCGGAGTGGCTGAACGCTGCTGCGTTGTGGGGAGGAATTGGACCCTGCTTTCCACAGCCATTATGCCGGGGTTTCTGGCCCGTTTTTGCGGGGATATTTGACGGGCCCCCAACATCTCCCTTGAAGAGAAAGCGTACCGCTTCTGACGACGATTGACCTGGATGGATTTCGGCGACCTCCGGATTCTTCCTGTTCGTCGGCAAGGCGGGTCCTCCAGACGCGGCGGCGATTGAGCGGCTTCGACCGTTGTCTCTCGTTGTGTAACCAATCCAACGGTATTCAACAGGATGTGTAGCGGCAGGCGCACAGGAAGGCTGACTGGCGTGGAGGTTTGTCCGTGGCGCGGTCGATGTTGATTGCGATGGCGAACCCAGGTGTCATCACGCACGGAGACATCATGCATCCTGTCATCTCGCCTGGCCGTCACTGTTGCTTTGATCTAGCGTGGATGACCTGCTCGATAATCGCGAGCGTAGACCGAATCTCCAACGACGAATTTTTTGTGCTTGGTGCCGGCACCAGAGTGAGTAGGTGGCTTCTCAGTCGGAATGTGCGCTTCGTTGGTGGTGCGTAGCTTGCGTCCCATCAATGCTTCAGCTAGTGACTGGCATCCCGGCCTAGCTGGATTCGGTGTGGACCGGTATGAGAGCAGGAAGGCTTGAAGACACTCATCCACGGTCCCCTCCCCGCGAGATTTCAAAAGCGCCCTTTTGAAGGTGTTGACAAATCGCTCCGCTTGACCATTGGATTGGTGATGGTAAGGCGGTGAGCGGAGGTGTTCGATGCAGTGTCGGTGACAAAACTCTTCGAAGATGAAAGAGGTAAACTGGGTACCATTGTCGGACACCAAAACCTCGGAAGGCCATGTTGACTGAATATTAGTTGGAGACAACCCAGAGTGGCGGATGCGGTTGGTGGGTTGACGGCGACCACTTCTGGCCATTTGGAATAAGCGTCGAGCCCGACCAGATAGGCAATGCCTTCAATGGGACCAGCTTATTCAATGTGCACTTGGGACCACGGTTTTGCTGACGGATGCCAAAGAACCGGTGCTTGGTGTAGTGGCATCTTTGAGGCTTGTTGACAATCCTGGGACACGGGGGCGGACTGACTGACTTTGTCGTCGGTTCTGTTGTTTGGTACTGCCGGAGAATGTACCGCGTTGCAGATGGCCCGAAGAGGAAGATCGGCCAAGCCACGGGTTTCGAGCCAGTCGAGATCAAGCATGTTGAGCTTCGTCTTTGTGATGTAGCAGATCGCGTTGGACGTGGCGCTCAGGAAGGAGACGGAGCAGTGCAGCTGCCCAGTTAGCTGCACGCGGCCATCACAGGCGCTGGTGGCAGATTGGGAGGTCGGTTAGAAGAATGGCTTGCCAAGGGATCGCCAGAGATCCTCGGAGATGATCGTGATGTCCGACGCAGTGAACAACTGCAATCGGACCGACTGCCCGTTGATAAAGACGTCGACGAACTTTCTCCGATCCGAAGTGTTGATTTGTAACGTGGTCAGCAGGCTCAGGGAGCTGCCAACCGGACCAGGTTTGGATGTGCGTCTGGGTCGGGACCTCTTCTTTGGATCACGGGAGGGGGCCAGCCCAGTTTTGGCCCCCTTGGGAGATGTGAGATGACAGTAACCATCCCGGTGCCCCACTCTGCCACAACCTTGACAACGATGCTGGTGGAACTTGCAGTCGTGGTGGAAATGCCAGCTCCTGCACTCCCAGGTGCGCTTGCGTGTGGTCACTGTGTTCAATTCGCCGCCACAGACTCTTCCACGGAACAACTGATGTTCTGTAAAAAGTATGGAATTTATTGCGTATTTTGTGAACATCCTTCGCGGTTAAACTCAGGCAGACAGCCACCACATATCCAAGAAAACACTAGACGGCCGTTATGTCCAATTAGGGCTCGTCAGTAGTGCGCACCTGCCGAATCCTGCCGCTTTCGAGTCCACGACTTAACTCTTTCGAACAAGCTACTTCTGCCACTGAGCCATGGCCCACCACGATTGGACTCTGTGTCATGCGTCTCGGTACCTCGCCTCACAATGTCAGATACCCATTCAGCGAACTAATCGAGCACTGGATTCCAGCGGGCCCATTTAACCAAACCGCAACACCGGAGCCGTAACATACTAATCGGAAACTACCTGGTTCCTCACAAACTTACTATCCGGCACAATCAGGAAACTTACATGGGGCTGACTTGAATTTTCCAGAAACATACTATATGCTTCTGATGAACATTATCACTTCTCTTCGTCTGCAGTTTGAAACGATGCTTCGTTTTTGCCCATACAAATATTTGCCAAGAAGATAGAATGAGGACAATTTACTGTCTGTTGGATTAAAAGTCAAATACCTTGGGGACGCTTAATCGAATGCAGTAGCTCTGCTGATTCCACAGCTGTACCAGGCGACCCTAATTCCTGATGGGCGATCACATTGAAACGTTACAGAAACACAATATACGCCACCAAGTCAATTTATTCACATCCCACTGAGTCGCCGTTTTACTGACTGAGGTCTCACTTAACCAGACGCCGCATGGGCAAATAAGATGTGCAGTCATCTGTGTGCTTCGAACAAAGCGCTGTTGTCCCTAGTATGGATATTTTCATTATCTCCCGCAACACATAGTGTTAATATAACCCATTTTTCTTTGTGATTCCTCTATCACTTTTGTCAGATATTTTCTGGCCTAATTTCTCTTCTGGATTTTTTTCATCGCTTGTTGCAGCACCCTGGTTGAAAAGCTGTTCATAATTTACTTGTGGTTACTGCGTCTTTGTGAGATTGTAATTTGTTCATCCTGGTCTAAAAGATCTCACAAAGCGCCAAAGTAAAGTGCTTTGCATATAAAATCATTCGACTGCACGTTTGTAGTACTAACTGCTTCTTACCTTTTTTTTCAATCGCATCGCATTTCCTGCTGTACCAACTGACCAACTTCCTGGCCTGTTTCTTTCTCCGTTTGACTTATCATTCTTTATTACAATTGTGACGTGTATTTCTGTTACTTTCTAATAATCTCCATATTTCATTTGGTTCCTCGCAATTGGCTTACAAGCCGCAAAGGAAAAGCACCAGACGATCGTTTCCTTCTATTGGAACTTCTCAGGGGGTACGCATCCCACTCGGTACTCTTCTGGGGGTCGAATTCATGACCACTGGTGGCTAGCACCACTGGCCAACAGTCTATGCCACTGCGCCATGGGGACGATAGCCGACCATCACGGACTAGAGTCTAACTGCGATATAACTCTACCACTCTTCAAAATGCAGTGTGGATCCACGGCTACTGGCAAGAGATGTCCTGACGCGAACGGCCAACCACTGTCTGCGCGGGCAGTAACCTACAGGGCAGTGGAGAATGGGTCGTGATAGTCGTCTATCGTCCCCCATGGTTCAGTGGCATAAGCTGCTGGCTAGTGGTGTAAGCCACAAGCGGTCATGGGCTCGATTCCCACAGGGAATCGAGGGAATGCGCATCACTGACGCGTCCCCGTAGAACGAGACGATCGTCTGGTGCTTTTCCGGACAACAGTAGACCTATGCGGCTTGTAATCCAATTGTTATGAACTAAATAAACTCATACCCAAATCGGTCTACTCTTCAGCATTTTCGGAACGGTTAGTTCCCACTACATTGTCGTTATACTATTTCATCGTGGGGAGTTTGTTGATCCTTTGTGAAGTACGCACTTTATTTCATTGGTACATATTTTGTAGCACTGTACTTCTTCGGTTAAAGCCGAACAAATTGGTTCCTTCATGCTCCTGATTTTCCCTCTTGGATGTCTAAAACCCAGGACAACGGGCAAAAAATGTATCGGCGGAGTTAACACAGAGCGAGCGTGGCACCCAGATACAAAATTCAAACTTGCGACACGCTACCATAAGACATAGTGTTTGGGAATGGGCACCGCGATGCAGAAAGATATATGCCCAAAGATATTTATTGTTTGGTGAGACCGGCGACAGAAATTATACTCGGTTTTGTGGTAACCACACATACATCGTTTCGATACTGCACCTTGCATTTTACAGCACACTTCATTTTGGACTGCATGTTTCGCTCCTCTCTAGATGACACCGTAACAAAGTTCACACATGTTCGCCCTGCGTTGAGTAGGCCGAGCTTTTCGGAAATTTTTCTATCTCTAGTTTGGCTTACCCTGAACGTTTTTGTTCCTTTTTCTGGACCCAGTTGCCTCTAGAGTTTACAATGTCCCGTGGCATGCGATTATCTGTTTATAATCTCAGGTAAACTGATTGTCAGTCATCGCGATCCCAGCCCTCCCTATCACCAGTACATGTTTTTAATCTTACGGCTTCGTGTAGTTCCTATTGACGATGAGTCAGTTAGAATGAATATTGCTCCTTCCACCAACAATAAGAGACTTTTATCGTGACATTGACAAGGTCTGTTGGACAATTGCTTAACTCACCTGGTAAAAATACTACTTTCCTTGCCGGCACCACGTCAGTACCCACTTAGTATTCATCGCAAAGTGTGCTTGGAAAGCTGCCTTATCTCTTCCACCCAACACGATGTCCTGTTCGTTCAATTCAGATCTTTTGTTATTGTATTACTAACCTTTTTGGGTACTCATAGTGTACACACATGATGATTACTTTCATGCTTGGCTTGTTTTGCTATGACTCGTCTCTCCAGTTTACTTGGGCCATGAAATTCTGATGTTCCCACCCCTTAATGTGTTGGCCTCAATATGTATTTTTCGGACTCAGCTCTGAAGCTGTCAGAAGAAGAGAAAACCCAGATTTTGTCTTCCGAGAACTTCCGTGGCTTCTTCGATTTCGCTTCGCGGGTCGTCGAGCGTTCTCTGGCCAAAGATGATGACGATCTGTTCTTCGATTATCAAGGCACGGAACAAGAAAAAGAGGTGTAAGTTAATAAACAAGTTGCTTTTCTTGCTTTACTTCACCCATTGTATTGCTTGATGCGTATCTCTTCACCAAGTCAAAGGTCACCTACACACAGGCTATCTCGAGCTATTCTGACTCAGGTACCCTATCCTAATGATCTGCTTCAAAGAAGTCCTTCTCCCATCCGTAACTTTCGTGCTGATCGATAGGTGTAACTAAAACCGTCCGGTGCAGAATCTGTTGTCATTCAAGCTTTCCACTTTTCTTCTGACAAATCATCTTGACGAAACACGGCGGTTCTAGCTGAGATTCTTATCCTGGATAAATTTCTCACGTTCGTTGTTTAAAATCGTGCTTCGGCCGACCTTTTCGACAGTCGATTTTTTATATCTTTCGAAGAACGTGCAATGACAAATAAGCTTTGTGATCTATCTTTCTTTTCTGTAGTCAACCATTGGCCTAGTGATGTGCAACGTCCTTTTTGCGTCCCACAGCTTACCGGTCCGGATATGCGTAGGCGTACGCGACTGATGTTGTGTGGCAGCGAAATATCATTGTAGCTTACGGGTTTACCATTGCGGCCTCTGGTTTCTTGCAAGTAACTTGAAACGGCGCACTATCTTTACACTCTGAGTGACTTCCCTGATTTTGTTTGTGTTTTTTACTGATTGACGTGGATCCACTCTGAGAAGTCGACATGCATTTATTATTGCAGATTGACTGTCCTCTGGCGGAGTGTAACCGTGTTACTCACCATGAACAGTTTGATTGAGAATGCTCTCCGCTGACAAAAGTATGATATACTCCTATACTAGGACTGAACCTCATGTTGATGTGACAATCCTCCGGTTGTTGTTAAAGTGACGTAAACGAGGTCCATAGCTGTCCGTAGTCAGTGCTACTATCTGTCAGTCCCGTAAGACCAAAACGGTGGCAGTAATTTTATCCCACGTTTCTCCTATCAGAACCATGAGGCTTAGGGGTATGTGAAAGTGAACAGGCGATTTTCTCTGATCTATTGTTCCTCATATCCTGTCACTGTTGGATTAACTGCCTGGGTGTACTACCTATGTTTTGCAGTACTTCGTAGTCGATCATTCGCACCCTTTTCTATTCACTGATTTCTCCGACTTTCGAAATCACATTAACCAGATTTCCAATCACTCCATAGGACAATCGTCGGCTTTGGTATTATTTTGCCTAGACGCCATCCTTGTCAGTTCAATGGACATTCGTCGTATCATGCAAGTCCCATTTCCTTTTCCTTCACGTCTAACCAAATTTCATATTTACTTAATCCCCCTCTTCATTTCTCCCCGGTTTTCGCGCCATTCAACCTGTGGGTTTTCCACGCGATGTACAGTTCCGATGCACTGTTGACTCCCTTTCACGAGTTCTTTGATGAGCGATGGACCAGAAAGCGCACGGTTACTAGTCTCGAGTGGTCCACTATCTTCCCCGAATTGTTGCTTGCTGCATATCACGTGAACGAGGATGCTCCGCACGAACCTGAAGGTGTTTGCCTCATATGGAACATGAAATACCCGAAAAAACTAAGTCCAGAGTTCATATTTCATTGCCAATCCCCTATTACATCCGCAACTTTATCCAAATTTCATCCCAACATTGTGATTGGTGGCACATATTCAGGACAAATCGTTTTATGGGATACTCGGTAAGTTTCGCAGAGTTCTAAAAACACAGGCGGTAATAACCAAAGACCCACTACTTTTCGCCCATTGTTTGCTAAACTAGAGTATGGTTGAACTTATCACACTTTATCACGGCTACTGTCTCACCGAACTTTTGACACGGACTCTTTCTCGTCATTCCGACGTAAACCCTTGTGTTCCTACATCGTTAGGAGTTTTTCATCTACCTAGCTGCGTAACTCGATCGATTACTACTAGTGACTTTTCCATACTCGTTTTGACAGGCTTTACATCAGTTTGATTCTTCTGCCGCGGTGTAGTATTGAACATTTCAAACACAGTATGTTGTTATGTAAGGGTCTCCCACCCTTCCAGTAGATTTGGGCTGAGGCTGGACCCTACCATAGTTGAACATACACCTCACATTCTTCGGATCCGTATAGGGGCCATCTAGCGGCGCTTATTTACCCCGCGCCTACCTTCAAGCCTAATACATACAAACTGGGTCGGTATATGAACAACCGACTTAGTCAACTTCTCCATGCTCACTGCATACCAAACGTTGTTCCCATGCTGTTCACACCTGCATGAGTTACACTCGAAGATGCTCGTATCCGTGATGATTTGTGAAGACGGACTTCACGTACTTGTACAGTAAGCTGTTTAGCACAACCGCACTACCCGTCGTGTTTCTCTACTGATGGTCTACTTTGTGTCGACAATCTCGGTGATGAAAGTTGAGCGAGGTCCTGCATTCTTCACTAGTCAGTTTATGGTCTCATCCTTACAGCAGTTATCCATAATACTTCTGTACGTTTCAAGTTTATTAAACTCCTCAGCTAGCCAAAACAGTACAACTCCTTTCTCGAGCACATTTCTCAAGATGTGAATCCTTCCGTTCCTCCAGTAGACTTATTTTGCCACATATGATGTCATGGTATATATGTTTCGCTGAGCTGTTCACATTTTTCTGGCTCTTTTAAATGGGACTCTGTATGTTATTAGGTCACGCAATCCTAGCTATCTGAGCACGTTAACTTGCTCGACTATGCGCTCAACCGGTATACATTGCTCAGGGCTACGCGAACACCTCCGTCTGTGGACTTATATCATGACTAAATACATAAATAACTGTTTTATTCTCGGCAGTGCGAGGCACGCCTGTGAAGGCATGATCATGATAATACAAACAGGTATGGTCAGTAATGGTATAAAACTGTATCAAGTTAACCAGTAACATACTGGGTTTTTGTGTGTGTGCGTGTACGTGTAAGTGGACATGGTGAGTGACCGATTTCATGAGTTTGTTGTCTTCGTCATCGTATGAAGGGATCAAAGGAACTCTTCGAACTGGATGACGTTCGTGAAGTGGGAAGACCCTCCGGAGGTGGAAGAGGCAGTAACTTTAGTTAGTGGATAGTCACATCCGCCACGTCGCAGTGTTGTTAGACGAACCTTTGTGGTTTTTATAAGGCGAACACTTGCAATGCGAAAATCCATCACGTCCTGGAACACTGCCGCCGAACTATTCGCTGCATCGAAGTTAACCCGAACCACCCAGCTGGCAGCAGGAGGAGGTTGTTCGTCTAGCCAGTCCCTTACGTTGTCTATTCAAATTTTACACTCTGTTACAAACTTGTCGTTTCCTTTTTTCCCTATTTCCGCTTCCTCAAAAGCGTGAACAAGCGCACCCCGGTACAACGAAGTCCTCTTACATCTTGGGCCCATACACATCCAGTGTTTGCCATCACTTTTGTGGGCACGCAGAATGCTCACCACATCATCAGCCTTGGATCTGATGGGTCGCTATGTGCTTGGAGTTTGGAGATGTTAACGCAACCGCGTGAGAAAACCAAAGTGTGTGAAATGTCCTCCGGTGGATTGTTCGACCTCTATCCCACGTGCATGTCCTTCTTCGCCAATGACGTGAACAACTATGCGGTTGGTGCGGAGAATGGAAACGCCTACTGTGGACAGCGGCATAGCAGGTAATCCTCTCCTTCAGGTTTTTATTGTATGCCTTTTTCTTTTTAGCGCTTAGTGGGTACTGAAAACGGGGTCTCGATTGCATTTTCGAGAGATTCGTCACAGCCACACTGAACTCGACGGCCATTGCACTTCTGAAAAATAAAATTACTTAGCAATTACTGCATTTTCAAGAGTAGTGAAAGCTGTGGCTGAAAATTGTTAAACCCCATCGCCGGATTCCCTCGTTTCACTAAGCCTGATGCGGTCGACAATACGATGACGTCATTTCAGTGTCATTTCCTTGCAGTCCCCTATTAGCCAGCAGTCTTCTACACGTCAGGGAAAGCACCAAACAGCTGCTTCGACATTCTGGGTCACTTTAGTCACGCGTCTTCCTCAGTTCCCAGTCGGGTTCCGGCCCCATGGCTTCCGGATGCCAGCAGCTAGCGCCACTAAGCCATGCGAAACGGCTGCGGACCTGCAGGTCAGCCCTCATCGTTGGTATTGTCCTTTACTTTGAGCAAGTTGAATACGTGCGTTTTTAGGTAAAGTACCTCGAGGATGGATCCAAATAAGAATTCAGAGTGCTACACGAAACGTACCAACTTGCCACCACATGCGACTGAACTTGAATAACTGTGCGCATGTTGCTATAATCTTAGTTCTGCTGAACGAATCAACGGGCTGAAAATAACCAACGTCCAGATTGACAGCTTGTGGTGGTCAATCGGCAATGGTGGGGTGCGGACGCGGATGAGCTCGGTTTTTATGCACACACGCAGTACCGTGGTAAGTCAAAGTCGCGAAATCCAGTGCATGGGAATATATTCTTTGTAAACGATCGATAACGGCAGGATGGGTCTTTCAGTCCTGCCAAGTCAGGTGTCAACAGTCACCTAACCTTATAATATCTCCGAGTAGATAATACTAATCGTCATCACTGCTGTCACCCCTAACTATCAAGCTGCCACTGTCATCAACTGCAACTGTAATCCGGAAAAGCACCAGACAACCGTTTCGTCCCATTGGGACTCCTAAATAGTTCACCCTTCCCTGCTGTATCAGGGACCGAACCCATGAGATCTCGACACTGGCCAGTAGCCAGTAGCTTCCGCCACTAAACCACGGGGAACGGGGATCTGCGTTAAATCGTCATGGCTAGCAAGCTAACCGTTTTCGCACGAAGGTTGCAGAAAACAGGGCTGGCGCCGAGAATTACGATTTGCACTAACGGCAGCTATGTACGACCTCATTAAGAAGCAAGGACGAATGTTTCGAAACTTATTTCAGTTCAGTTGATCAGCTGTGATCCAAGCACTGAAGTGCGATTGATCCAGTTGCCACGACTCACCTCGTAAAAATAACGATAAATAATAACGGTAGGATACTTGGGTTAGGTGCATATAGGATGTATAGAAAATGTAGGCAAGAAGGGATTGCGTTAAACTAATAAGAATGGAACGGAATTTAACAACTGACTGAAAGAAGCCGGATGGAGGAACGTCACTGACTGCGCCATGTCTGACAGGGTCTCCAACCATTGGAGTGGGCCGTCCTGAGGCCCCCGTCCACGAAGACGGCACGCAACAGCCTGGCCAAGTCTCTCAGTCAATTTCTTCAAGCTTCTACGCATGTCATGGATTAGCCACTTCCAGGTTTCGCCCGAATTGGTGCAGCCACGGCGTATTCGGATTGACCTTCACTGCTCAGCCACAACTCGAGTTTCAGACTCGTATGCGCTATGAACTAAGAAACAGCGAGCGCACAGTGAAAATACCAAAGTCTCGCACAATGCTCCGCTCAAAATTTTTCTCTGTAAAATATGCGTTAATATGGAACAAACTTCCATCGAGTGTTAGAAACTGCACTACCTATGCACAATTCAGACGCATGATTAATATTCACCTGACTGTTGCAAACATCTGGTCAACACTAAGCCAAACGGTGACTCTAGATGATTTGTATGAGAAAGGTCCTGGATACGTATGAAAGTCACCATATCCTCTATTCGTTTCAATAATATAAGATTATCTACATATAATTGCATTCTTGAGTATATATTTGAGAACGATCTTACTCTTATTAATCCGTTTAACCAATTCTGTTTTCTTCTTTGGCGCACTGGTTCGTTGATGCACTACGCCTTCCAAGCTGATGTCTCTGTACCATCGTCGTCACTCGCCAAGATTTTCCATCAAATTGTGACTGGCCTATTGACTGCTAATCATTTCAAAAACCCATATGGGAACCTTTGATCAAAAACGAACAATTAACTATATTATGCGATCACGTTGTGCATGTTGATAAGACAACCCAATTGGTCTTTGCCTCGCACTGCTGAGGAATAAAACGTTTATTTATTTATTTATTTATTTATATAATGCACACCAAGGCATCCGGTCAACAGACATACAGGGGGCATGGCCTAGCCAACGCAAGCCACTAAGATTTAGCAAACACTCGAGAGAGGCACCAGAATGCTTCTGGCCAAAAACCAATTGTCAGACCTCAGCATTGCTCACCTGGTGTTCCCATCAGACGTGAGCAACACTCCGAAATCATCGGTACTCAAACACTGCCAAACGTTTAAGGTCCTCGCCGCAAACTAGTCATGTCTCCGATCCCTACAGTAACATTGACCCTATCGCAGCGATACTCTTGAATGCGATTCCTCGCCCGGCAGCCGTCGGCTTTCATGCGCTTCTCTTTTTCATTCAATTTTCTCATTTGTTTCTCTGATGATTCTTCGTTTAGTGACCAGGTTGAGGTGCGACACACATCTTTGCCACACGCGTGTTCACTCAAGCCATAGTTGAACAACGAAACTGGGGTGAACACAGGCCCTGCATCACATTAAAAGTTTCAAACCTGTTATGATAGACAGGTCAGTCAGAAAGTGACTAGTCCTGTGCGTCAAGTTCACTAATGTTTAATCTCATCTCTTTTGTATTGCGGCACATTAGCTGAAGTGTGTTTCTCACTCTCGGCTAACGTGTATGATGATGATGATGAGTTCACTAACGAATATGCGTGGTTCAGACACTTATGGTCAAACTGACTACCGTCGTGAAGTTACCACGAGGCTATAAATAAACAAATCATTAAAATTTTTATTATCGTAGCTTGGTCATGTTGATCACAAGTCATGGTCAAAAATGTACAAAGCATATGTTCGCCACAACCGTAGGTAATTGTGTATGTGTGTAGCTGTGTAGTTTGTGCTTGTAAGTGTGCCACTGCGTTCTTGACTGTTTCATAGCGTCGGCAATGTGAGAATAGACTATTGATGTCCTTGGGTTGAATAGGATTATCCGGATATTCACGGGGTAGTGACTTTAGTTTGTAGCGACTCATAACCGCCATCTCGCAATGTTGATAAACAGCTATTTGTGACTTTTTATAGGGAGAACACTTTACAGAAGAAAATCCACCACGTCCTGGAACACTGCTGCTGAACTATTTGCTGGAACCGGTTGAACCCGAACCACCCAGCTGGCAGCACGAGGAGTTTGTTCGGCTAGCCAGCCACAGTTTGGTCTGTGTACCGCTTACTTAAGTAGAATCACTAAAGAGATTGATCTTTCATCCTCACACATATTCTTTATTTTGTGTCTACATGACTACTACTCTGTGTACCTTGTCACTGTCTTGTTCTCTGTAGCCGGAGCGGTGCCACTGAGGAGGTCTCCAAACACGTTCCCTATAAAGGACATTGTGCGCCCATCACAGCCATATCCACTCACCCGAGCCCCGGTGCAGTGAGCTTCTCCTCATTGTTTCTAACCGCCTCTTTGGACTGGACAGTCCGTCTTTGGTCCACACGTGAGTACAAACCGCTGCACACGTTCGACGACTATTTCGACTACGTGTACGACGTGTGCTGGAGTCCGGTACATCCGGCGGTGTTTGCCACTGTGGATGGAACCGGGCGTCTGGATGTGTGGAATATCAATCAGGATGTTGAGGTGTGTTATCGTTAAGAAAAATATTGGCCGGTTGAACAGTTTCACACTATAATTCTTCGTGTGGATGTTGTGACTACAATTTCATGCCATTGATCCTTGTTACGGTATCTTGACCTCTATCTCCCCACCTGCATCCCAATGGGATACCTGTGAAACCATTATGTCCTTTTGAACTGTAGTATCTCTTCTTACCTTGTAAGTACGGCCCAGATTTTTGTACTAACTGACGTGTGTTCGCCTTATGCTTGCCAAAGCTACTGAGCCCTCTATGCGCGTTTCTACTGTGTTACCGATCCACACCGCCACGGGTTCCCGATGGTTCAGCGGTTAACATGTCTGGTGCGTCCCCACGATCGTTATGGCTGATGCGCTCATGTGTAATTTGTTCCCTTTCGTCCATCATTCAACCGGATCCGTCTAACTTTTTCCTCACTGAAACGTGGACACTTGTTGTCATATTTGTTCTTATTGTATTATGCACCATTCAAGTTCTTCTCCATCCTCCGTTCAGGTGCCTACAGCCCAATACGTTATCGGTGGACCATCCAACGTGGAAAAAGCATCCACCGGCCATGTTGCTTTAAACAAATGTCGATGGGATTGCACAGGATCCTATCTCGCTGCTGGTGACAACCACGGCCGAGTCACTGTATGTTCCGTGCACGAATCACTAGTTCAACCTGGAGCCGAACAGTGGCCGGAGTTTGCCCGGAGTCTTTCAGACTTAAAGCTGTATACCATGGATCAAGATGTTCGTCTTGAAGCCTAGAGACTTATTTCGCACTTCTGTGATCCTTCCCACTGAACCTTCCCTTGTGCCCAGTGTAACCAACTTTATCCATATGTCAGGTACTTGTGTTCACTCATCTGACCCATCAGTTGATCATGTTTGAGGCTTTACATCCCGGGTCCCACATCGACTATCTGCACAGACGTTATGGACACCTGTTTTTCACTTATACGCATGTTTTTTGTTTCTTTTTATCTTGTCATTAGGTACTTGGATTTTTCTCCTCATTTTTGTTTTATTTTACTTTCCTACTGAGGTGCGTGCAATTGCTTCGATACTTTGTCTCACCACATGATCTCGCCCTTTGTATCCCTTCATCTTGGTACTTTGACATGACTTGAACCACATACATATTTTCTTACGCAAATGTTGTGCTCTACACAGCTGTTGGCTTTCGCACTGCCGGAGGTTCAGCTTTCGGATGGCTGCCAACGTGACTCCATTGTGTGGGTATGCACTCATTCTACGTTCACATTACCGTGCAACCGTGCTAATCCTCTGTGTATTTTCATCCGACACCTTCGTGATGGCACCAGCCCAATGGGCCGTACTACACTCACTCATCTCCAACTCTTCGTCTGTTCCCATGACAATGAACAACTTGCTTTCCGTTTTATATTTCTTTAATTTACCACGCCACCAATTTCTTTTATCGCAGCAAGGCGAATCATTGCAGCAGGAGCTACCGCCTGTCGATACCCGGACCGAAATTGTCTGATTGAAACGGATTCGCACTTTCAAAGGGCAAAGCTTCATTGCAAAATCCTCAACCATTTGATTACTTCTGTACTGTATGACCGCTTAATCCTTTCGGGAAAAAAATCCTCGTCAGTGTACATTCCAACTGGCTCTTTGTGGGGCTACCACCCGCAGCCCGACTGTTACCAGTCCGTGGTGAAGACCACTGAGATTCGAAGGACGGTAACGACCGACATGATTGACTTACCAGCTGTGATATAGCGCCACTTTGTGAGGGTGCTACCATGTCCTTTGCACAGTAGAAACGCGCATGTCACTGGATAGTGAACGCGGTTATATCACATCTGTTAACTTATTCACGATGGTCGTTGTCATCCCCCACAGCTCAGTGGTCTCAACCACAGATTGGCAACAATCGAGTTGCGGGTTCGAACCCCACAGGGGTCAGAAGGAATGCACACTGCTGACAATTCCTGCAAGGATGAAACGGGCATGTGACGGCTGTCTGCCTGAGTCTGGATGTAATGTTTTTATATTTGTACCCTACAAATCGCCCTTGTAATTAATACGCAGACCAAACTGCCTATGTCTCAAGTTAATTGGCGGCATAAGGTCGGTAAATTCCTCACTTGTTGAAGGTGCTACTCTGTCTTCTGCACTGTAGTAACATGCAAATCTGTAGATATGAAAAAGCGTTACATCAAATCCAGTAATTTAGTTATCATGCTTGTTACCATTCCCCCTAGCCCAGTGGTCTTCACCACAGACTGGTAACAGTAGGATTATAGCTCCACAGGTGTCATTGAATACGGACTGCTGACTGAGGATGAAACAGCCGTGCGGTGTTTTTCCGGCATGCGATAACTATCTAATTGTCTAGGTGTGATCTACTTCAACTTATACCATTCGGATTCCCCTACTTCTCCTCTGGGATTCCTTCACTTTTGACGCCAAGTAACTCGCGCCTGGGGCGCGACTGCATAAGTTACTTCGCGTATTGCAAAAGCTAGTACTGCGCTGCTAATTCTGCTCCATTCCTGGCACCGGAAGGGAATGTCCCTGAATCTCAAGGGTAGTTTATCCAAAGCCATGGAGATGGCAGTTTTCTATCAGACTGACTTGGCCTCTTCAATCTGAGGACCTTTTGCACCGCTAATCTTTTGATCTTTGTCGTCTGCGGAATGTCACTGATATCGGACGGCATCGGCGCGTCCACAGCGATGATGTACGCAGCTCTGTACTAGGTGCTGATAATCAAGTTGGTTCACTAGGGCAGCAAGTAACATTGGTTAAATCGCATTGGTTTGGTCACGTGCTATGTTTGTACGCGTACCGAGGAAGTCCTTTTTGTTGTCGCATTTTGAATTGCGCAATTATCGACGGAACAAAACTTCACTTGGCAACTGGAAATGAAGTTGCCGATGTTTAAACCGAACACCTCTCTCGTGTCCCAGGCTGGTATCCACGCAGTCCATTCAGTGCTTGTCTTGAAGCTTTACACGATATGGTTTGCACCTAACGTCATTGCCATGTTTGCTGTCGCCTCTTAATCGGACTAGCCGTTAAAAGTGTGCTTGGTAATGAGTTATTTGTGGTCTAATGCATGATCATGAGGCGGAGCAGTGAAGGCCACACAGAAATTGCCTCAACGTTGCATGATGGCACTCTTTTTGTGGTCGTCCGTTCACGAGAGGTAGTCGCCTGGCGCCTGATTGTCTGCTTATGGTGTTTATGTTTTACGTTAGGTCGCTTTCTCTCTTTGTATGCAAACAGACGGCGTGCTTAGCCAGCGTTGCCTTGTTGAGGCTGATGGCCGCGTTTTTCTGACTGGAATACCAATCTGCATCAGACCATCTCTGGCTGCCGTCGATTCTTGACATTTATCATTTTGTATGGTCTACATGGAAGGGGACACTATCGGGAGATGCATTGTTGTGATAGCTTTTCATTGGCGCCTCGTCGCTGTTGGGTTGCGCAGTTTCATCCTTCCCTATATTTCGTGAAACTGGACACATAGAAGTAACTTTCCCTCACTTAGTCTGTGTTCTGGAGACACCTATCACCTTCTTATGGTCTGGGGAATTTCGATTGTTCATGTAACCTCTTCCATTGATCCGTCGCAGTTTTGCTGTTTACAGCTTGAACAGTTTGGCTCATTTTTCTAGGTGTTGGAGCCTACATCCTACGCATCTTTTTCTTTGTTACGAACGAAAGTACGAAATTTATGTTTCTCTCCACAGAGAGCTTATTCCCATGAAGTATGAAGTCTTGGTATACGACCATTGTGTTCATTTGTTGACGCAATATGTAGAACGTGACAAAGAAATAGTGAGTATAGTTTGTAACTTCCTGGTATCTTCATTCAACCCCGCCATAGGGGGGGGAGAGGTCCCAACGGGTCTGACGGTATCAGTGAGCACTGATGTGCTATTCTCCAATGATTTTATCAGTTGGACGGTCTTCTCCATTGCAGAACAGCAGCTACATTTTCAGTACTTGTGTAGCACTACACTTCATGTTTTTCTCGGCGAACATCCAGTGTTATCGGAGCTCAGGTCAAGGAAGGGAGGAAGGGATTTGATGTTTCTAGCTTATAAAAATATGCATATAAAAAACGCTTGAGCCTGCGTATTCTAGAGAATAGAAATATTGATGGAACAGTGGATAATAGTTATTGTAATTAAGTATATATTTGGTATGATGCATTGGGACGTGTTGCCTCGGTCAGGGCTACTCAGGAATATTAGCTATCGTTTATGGCAGCCTAGTGAGGTTGGAGCAAAAACCACGGCTATATCAAGGAATATATAGAATTGGAAGAGAATGAAACGGTCAGTCCCTTCTTTCCGCACTTATTTGGAAGCTCGAAATTGTTACATGACATGGTCGCCTAGAAGTTGTATGAACAGTGAGATTGAAAAGCCTCAGTATGTCTTTTCTTCATTTGATTGGTCCACGGGACCCATGTAAACCTACATTGTGTGCCTATTGCAAAGAGACCAGATCTTAGCGTGGTGCAATGGTTTGCACACCTCTGTGATCCATTGCACTACGTTGGGTGGCACTTTCCAAATGCCTTCACAGTTCCTCATACCAAGTTTGTCAATGGTTTGTGGTCAGACTAACTCAGTCTCAAAATCCAATCCTCTTTAGAGGCTAGAGAGGTTGAAAGCCCTGGTCTACGAGTTATAAGCTCACAGTTCGATTGGCGTACAGCACGAGCGCCATGCGCTGTATCTGACGCTGTGAGGGCACCTTCCGGTGCTCACTGGTTTGCAATCGCTCGCCTCTAGCCAGGCAGCCCCTTGACGAACTGCTGCGAACCCACCAACTCCCACCTATGGCTGGTAATGTTCGCAGGTGCGTAACATACTACGTTCTTGAAACACGTGCGTGCTATTCTTAATCTTCAAAGACTGCGCGTGATAAGCCTCAAGCAGATTCCACTGTGTCTCTGCAATTACACTCCCTAGATGAACTTGCTCCCAACTGTCTTGTGAGTCAGACCATTGGGCCAAAACCGGATAGTGTCATCCGAACGAAACTCCATGTACCACACGCCCTTGTGGGTCAGACTGCTGTATGAAAGGCTAGAGGTACGGCTCCTCGGGCAAAACCTTTCCCTTGGAATACGCAGCCGGAGAGACTGTCGAAGAGTATCATCTCCCCTCTTGAACCAGTTAGGAATACTCCCACTTCTTATTTTGCTGTCCCCTCTCTTCTTCCCCGTCTATTGAGCAAGATACTGCTGCCATCGACATATGAAGCTACTCCTAGAGTCTCACTTTACATTGGTTCATTTAACGTCCGCAGTCTGGGTCAGATCGGTCAACAGGCAACACTGACTCACTCTCTTGGTATTGATGTGTGCTGTGTCTCCGAAACACGCATACAAGATAACAGCGTTGTGACGAAACTTCGACTCCCTGGTTCTGAACCTGACGACCGTGACTACAGTCTTCGCGTCTCTGGTGATACAGAGTCAGTGGCTCAAGGAATTTACAGTGTTGGTATCGTCCTCAGTAAACATACTAAAATCAATTTCCTCGACTGAATGACGGCGAACAGCCACATATGTGCTGTTCGATTTCGAACCTCTATTAGATTTAATAAGCACAGTATTAAGACAAGGTGCATTTCCATCTCCTCAGTTTACGCTCCTACTGAATTCATTTCAGACGGCATCAAAGACGATGTCTCTCGACAGCTTCCACCTCTTCTTCGCATGAAAAAGAATACTGGCATCGTGATTGTTGCTGATGACATGAATGACAAAGTGGGTCGTCTTTCAGATTCTGGACAGCGTCTGAGAGGGCGCTTCGGAGTCGATGCACGCCGAACAGACAATGGTGTTCGATTCCTGCAACTGTGTGCCGACCACCACTTTTATCTCAGCAGCACCGCTTTCCAGTACAAACTTTCATACCGCGCCACCTTGTGCCCACCGAATTCCTTAATGACCTTGATCCAAATTGACCATATTGCCATCAGCAACAGATAGCGCGCATCAGTCCAAGACTGTCTGTCAATTTGGAACACGTACATGGACTCCGACCATGCTCTGGTGCGCGCACGCTTGGCGCCCACCTTTCCTCTTCAAAGAAGCGTCTACCTTCTAATCTTACCTGTAACTTGAACTCGCATACTGCAGTTCAAAAATATCACGATGAACTGGCCCACCAAATGTCATTGATGAATGAGCTTCGTGAGCCAAATGCTGACTGGAATGGTCTCAAATGTGCCCTGAAGAATGCGTTTGACGCATGTTGTGCATATAACTTCAGATGTCGTAATTGTATATAGATCTCTATGTCATCGATCAGCTTGATTGAAGCACGGAAACAGTTTCCAATGGGTGCTGTTTCAGCATGTCCGTATTTTCTTCTAACGACGTCTGACAAGGTATCTTCTAATCAACCGGGAACGGTGGATGACAAGGGCACGTGAGATGGAGAAAATCAGCGCTATTGGGAACAGCCGCGTTCTGTTTCATCTCGTCCTGAACACAGGTCCCAGAAAGCCGTCCGTTAGCGAGACAATAGCTGAGTGAGATGAACGGTTGATTCCTTCTCAGCCCCGTCGACTAGCCCGTTGGGAGGAACATTTTGAAGAGCAGTTCAGCAGGCCTTCTGCAGCAGTCGCT